GCCCCACACCCCTGCCATGAACAAGGGAAGGAGGAGGAGGGGAGACAAGCAACCGAAGGTCTTGCTGTGCCACAATGCAGGACCTGCCTGGGACACCACACTGGTCAGTCCTGACACGAGAGCACGGGAGATCCGGTGCTGGGGAGGGAACCTCGGGTAAGTGTGTAAATGCATTTCACGTGACCGTGATTACTGCTAGTGCCCCCAGCATAGCGGAACCCCACTGCGAAGTTGTCGTGAATTTCTTCACCCAAGAAGAAGGTGGTAGGACAACGGAGAGGCGTGGAGCTGGGCAGGGTTGCCATGTGCAGCAGTTTGTTTATGTGCACGGGGGAGTCTGTTGAATCCTCCCGAGGAATCCTGATGTATCTGCAGTCCTCTCCCAAGGGCTTCTAGGGTTGGCAGCTTTATTTTTCCTCTGCAGTCGGATGTTTTCCCATGTCGATTGGCGCCATTGCAGTAAACAGGCTAGTGGCATGTGGGCTCGGGCAGCTCGGGGGTGCCAGCAGCAGCTGTATTTTCCGTGCTTCGGTTACTCTCAGGAGTGTCAAAATTCACGGCTGCCTGCGGGAAATGGTGCTGGTATTCAGTGCCATGGCCCAGTACTGAGTAATTCCCTCCTCGTCTCCTGGTATTCAGTGCCATGGCCCAGTACTGAGTAATTCCCTCCTCGTCTCCCTTCGCCCCGGCTGCCGCTGAGAGCCGTGTTGTGCGCACGCTCTCAAGCAGAAGTGCCAATAAGCAGGTCTTGTTAAAATTGTGGGGCAAAGAAATCTGAACCTTAACTTTTGCTTTCTGGAGGGACGGAGCTCACAGCAGTGCCTCTGCATGCTTTATTTGTAGCTTCTCCTTTGTGGCCCGGAGGGGTACCCTCTCCGCACCTGCAGAACGCCTGAAGCAGATGAGGAGAAAGAAGAGGGCTTGAGATGTGTTCAGCGAGGCCCTGCAGGCCAGTGCTGCATCAGAGGGTGAGCAGAGGGCCCGGAGGGTGAATACTGCAGACTGTAAGAAACAGACAGGAGAAAAGTCCAGGAGTCCCAGGAGGAGAGGAGATTCACCAGGACGTAATGGGGCGACTGACAGCAAATTCAGATGTTATGGACTCTTGTGGACCTATAGGCTCAGTAATAATGGGCTCGCCTCTCTTTGCAGTCCTCGGAGCAGTCCATTTTAGCATCTCCCCTCCCCCCGAACATGGCACGTGGCATCCAGGACTGAAGCCCTACTCTATTTCTTCACACCCGCGGCAGTAAGGACAACCACAGGGTCACATACAATGACCTGTGAGAGCCGCAGCTGCTGTACATGTAGCCAAAATGGACACGAATGTTCTTTCTCCTTGGTGAGCGCCGTAATGTTAACTTACTAGGGTTTTATTGTGCCTGCTTTTAAAATGGAAAAGCTTTTTTATGCTGGTTTGGTTCCTCAATAAAACTAGTTTTGGTCAATGTAATTCATCTGTGCAGCTTATGTTGGAAACGAATTGAGCGCCTCGCAGTACTGAAAGCACCCATCTACTTTGTACAGCGTGACACAACTCGTAGAATCAGACACACACACACTGTAATAACTGTAAGTGTACAGCAAGTACCACAAAATGAATAGGCACCGTGACAGCGTTCTAGTCATGGCTGCACATCTAACAGGGCCCGGTAGAACGCAGTCCAACACAGGCGTTACTGTGACTCCCTGGCAAAGGGCTCTTGCAAGGTCTTTCGCAGCTGTACAGCTCCTCCATTAGCCCTTGTGGCTGTTCAAATTCAGCAGACAGCTGCTCCATGTCCCCCCTCCTCCCTAGCAGCATTTTCCCCCTTTGCCTCGCAGATACTGCATAGGATGCAGCAGGCAGCTATAACCACGGGGGTATTTTTCTCACAGAGATACAGTTAGGTGAGTGAAAAAGGCCAACACCTCCTCAGCTTACCAAACGCACGTTGGGCTTTCATTCCACACCGGCTGAGCTGGGAGTTCACTCTGTCTTTGGCACTGCCAAGTGGCCAGTGTACATCTTCATGAGCAAGGGGTGGGCTGGGTCCTCCAGGATCACTGTGGGCAGTTCAGCATCTCCCGTGGTCATCCGCTGGTCAGGAAAAAGAGCCTCTGGTTTCAGCTTTCTGACAGTTCTGTGTTCTTAACGATGCACGCATCATGCACCTCCCCTGACCAACCAGCACGGATGTCTGGAATGCATCCCTGGGGATCCACCATTGCTTGCGTTACCACACACAGAGTAGTCCTTTCGGCTGTGCTGTGGCAAAGTATGCTGATGCCAAGATAGGGGTATGTGTGCCGACTATTGTGCATGGCAGTTCAGCAGCATGGTTACTGCAAATCCTACCGGTACATCCTGCACGTGCCTAAGGGTATGTCTACACTACCCTGCTAGTTCGAACTAGCGGGGTAATGTAGGCATACCGAACGTGCAAATGAAGCCCGGGATTTGAATTTCCCGGGCTTCATTTGCATAAGCGGGGAGCC